GAGAGCAGGGGAGACCTGAGGCAAGGGAGTGACCGCACACTGTGACAGCCTTATAAAGGCCACTTGGGTCACAGGGCAGAGGAGCAGCTACTGGGACAGGCAAGATGGAGTGAATGAAGACTGTTGAGGGCTGGGTGCATTCAGCTGCTGCAGGGCAAATGTCTGTCCACATCAGCTCCACTGTCCGCACAGACCGGGCCACACTAAAGCTCTGTAGGGCTTATCTTCTTAGACCAGTGGTTCTCACCCTTCCTCATGCTGTGGCCCTTTAATACAGCCCCTCATGCTGTGGTGACCCCAACCATAAAGTTATTCTCATTGCTTCTTCATAACTGTAAATTTCCTACTGTTATGAATCACAGTAGAAATCTCTAATATGCAGGATATCTGATATCCGATCCCTGATGGGGTCAGGACCCACTGGTTGAGAACCACTGTTTTAGATGGTCCCCAGAACATTCTCCAAGGGTGGGAACAGCTTCTACTGGCACTTTCCAGTATGCTGACGACCACTAGCAATGTGTAACAGTTGATGTCTCAAAACTTGGCTACTGCAACTGATGAACTAAATTAGTATTTTAATTAGTCATACCTAATTTAAATCCAATAGCCACATTTGAGTAACAGGCCACCACTGCAAAGAAAGAGCATTGCCATCACCATGGAAGGCTCTGTCGGTGGTTATGATGCTCTGGACTGATGGCCATGGACCCACAGAACCTGGAGGCACCCACCTGCAGTTCCTCTGCACCCCAATATTCACATATGCTAGGATAGGTGCACCCACTCTGAGGCACCTACTCACCCAGACAATTCCACCATTCTAGGAATGAGGTGTTAGGGGCTCCCCCGATATGTCAAAGCAGCTGTTTCTCCCCAACTCCCAACTCAGGTCTAGCCATACCAAGCTTATCAGGCCGCCCTGAGAGGCCACACACACACATACTCTGTGCCCTTGCCCTCCATTTCACACACATGTACAAACACACACATGACCCACTCTGGATTCCTAGGCCACAGGATAACAACTGTATACATCTGTCTGCCTCTCCAGCTCAGGGACAGACCCTTGGGATGCAAGAGGGCTCTACCTAGCCCAAGACCCCCCAACTGAGGATTAAAGGGGTGTCCGCCTAACATGGACCCTCCTTCCTCCCTCCTCCCTCTTCCCTCCTTCCTCCTCCCTCCTCCCGATATTCAGTCTAACCGTTGAGACTCCAAGCCTCACCAACGGTTGTCCGATCACAGTAAGCTGAAACTCTCTGGATTGGACAAGCGGAGCCAGCTGCTAGGGGTGGGGCCAGGCTAGGGGGAGGCAGTGGCGGCAGTCTAGGGGGAGGGGCCTCCCTGCAAGAGCCCTCTCTCTTCAGTCTCTGCCAGGGACTCAACCTCTTTAACTCACAGCTCCCAGATGACACTTTCCGGACACAGCCTTTTCACAACATGACACCATCCGCCGGCAGAATCTTCCAGATTCTTACCGAGAGGGAAGAAAAAAAAAAAACCTCTTCCTTCCCTTCTGCCTTCAATGGAGTCATTGCGCCCCCATCTGGCATCTCCAGCTCTGAATTTGACCCACTTGACTCCACTCATTCACTCATTCATTCATTCTTTTTTTTTTTAACACGAAAAGTTGTCCTGACTAGCATGGAATTCACCACGCAACTCAGATTGACCTCAAACTTGCAATCAATCTTCCTGCCCCAGCGCCTCCCGCTTCCCAGTGCTTGGATTACAGGACTGAACTGTATCAGCCAGCTTCCTTCATTCGTGAATGTCACAGCCATTTACCTGGACTAGAAGGCTCAGACCTTGTGCCTGGCGCTAAGTATTTGAAGGTGCAGGGTGACTTTTCTCATAGAATTCCTGATCTCATAAAGGGTAGCAGGACCAAGAGACTGTAATTAAGATATTATATAAAAACCTAATCGTCTCCTCCCTTCCCTCTCCTGGGCTCAAACAGAGAAAAACCAAGGAAGGCTTCAAGGAGGAAGAGATATCTAAGCTGAGAGACAAACTAGGAGCTCACATAGGAAACTGTGGAGTCACAGAGTCCTGGAGAGAAAGCAGTTTGTACAAGGCGCAGAGAAGAGATCGTGGATTGTGGGTATTTAAGGACTACTGGTAGATAAGGCTAGCCAGAACACAGAATCCTAGAACAAGATGAGGTGGACCAGGCAGGGGCTAGAACACTGACGGGGGCTGAGAAGGAAAGACCTTAACTCTGAAAGTAACTGGGAGCTTTGATGGGGATTCGAAGAGGGGTTTAAATCATGCATTTTAGGAAGAACCCTGACACAGTGGAAGGAAGAGGCTGCTGACTTCCTGCAGGTGGGTGACAGCTGAGGAGGGAGAAAAAGGAGAGATGAAGGCTTAGGATACTTCAAGACACAATGGGAAGGCACAAAGCCCCTCCTGTCGCTCTGGCTGACTTAGCTGTGTACCACAAGTCCAGCTTGGGCCAGCCTGGAGGATAGCAGCACACCTCCAGCAAACGGTACAGCCCTGGACCTCCGATGCCATCAGACAGAAACAGGAGGCAGCCTGGAAGTGTAGCTTAGGATTCAGGCCACCCTCCTGGCTTCCTGCCCAGCCCCCTTGTGCAGCCCCAGAGAGAAGGCTGCCCCGACAAGCCCTCGTTGCCTAACCTGAAACCACAGGACACCTCTCCCTCATTCCTGCTGCCCACAACTCCAGCGGCCAAAAAGACAGATTGAGCCAGTGCACAGTGGGATAATTACTGCCAGGTGTGCAGGGCTGAGAGCCACCCCACACAGACCCCCACCGGGTGACTAAGGGTAGGCAGGGGACTGGATCCACTCCCTAGACTGAAGACAGAGGGCTGCCACCTCCTTTCTACCCAGAGCTTTTGAATCACTCTCTAATAGTAAAAGCTTCAAAGGTGACAGGAATTTGAGATGTAACATGACTTACCCAAGGTCACACACAGCAAGTAATAGAGAATTTGAGCCCACATTGCCCCTGGCTTCAAATTAGCCCCTAGGGCTTTGCCACACCCCTCTAACCCATCTTCTCTGCTTCCCAAGTAGGGGACTTAACATTCTACCAAGCATCACACACGATCTTTATCAAGATCATGAAGCAGACTGAGAAACTGAGGCTCGGGAATGGGACTAGCCTGCAGTAGGTCTCACTCTCAAACCTTGATCCTGACAGTCTACTACCATCGCAATTGAGGCTCCGTGTATTCTCAAATCGAGGTGATGGGGTGGGGGTGGGGGGCGCAGAGGGTTCTATCTCGTAGTGGGGGGAGATAGGAGGGGTTAAGAAAGGTCTAAGAGGCCGGTTGCCTGGGTCACCCTCTTGGGTCCCAGGAGGTCAAAACTGAAGCAAAGCATTACAATCCCAAAGCTGCAGGGCAAGACCAGGACAGCTCCCGAGACGCCCCAGCGGGGGCAGGGCCGTGAACTAGATCCCCGGAGGCCAGCTGTCTGGGGCAGGCGGCCTGGAGTCTCTCCCCGGCCCAAGGCGGCAGCGTGTGTCTCGGCTCTGCTTCCACCCGGGGCGGCTCCCGGCTACCCCACGCCGGGTGGCGGGAGCCAGGGGAGGAGGAAATCCTGGAAGAGAGCCGGAGCACACCCGCCGGAGGGGCCGAGGCCTGAGGTCCAGGCCTCAGGAAAGGAAGGTAAATAACGCGCAAACACAAGCACACCGACACTCCGTCCACAGAGCACACGATGCGATGCGCTCGCGGACGCAAAGAGACAGGCACTGGACACACATTCAGACATGTGAATGCACACACACACACACACGCACACACCCTCCATAGGACACCAGGCTCCAAAGCACACTCAAGCACGCGATCACATCGCAGGCCGAATGGGAGCCCCACGCACACATTCACACACTCACGTCCGCACGCGGGTGCCCAGCTGGCCGGGAGGCCACACAAAGTTGCAAAGCAGACGCAGGCAGCGTCCCCGGGGACCGCGGCGTCCCCAACGCCTCTGGCGAGCTACGATGAGGACGCTGTCCCGCGGCCTCTAGCCAGGCCCTGCGGGGGCCTCGACGCCGCAGCCCCGCCCGCAATCGGGTGCGCCCCACGGCCCTCCCCACCCGGGCGCCCCGCGGCCCTGGCGCCGCCTCGGATCAGCCGCCAGCCAGCGCCGCTCGGAACTTGCGAAACAACAAACCGCCCGAAATGTCGGTGTCGGCGGCTACGGCCGCGTCTCTCCCCCTTCCTTCCCTCGCCAGCCGCAGGGCCGCCCCAGCCTCCGAGGGACGCCACCGCGACAACTTGTTCCGGCCGGGTGCGCCACGCACACGCGCGCGCGATCACACACACACTCACATATGCACACACATCCTCGGCTCCCAGCCACACTCAACCACGGCCCAGGAGCACCCCAAGCTCGCAGCGTCCCTAGCCATCGCTCACTGACACACTCATCCACTCCAGACACGCTCCCCCACACGCATTTCCCGCATCCCTGACATTCACTCGGAGCCACACAGCACCATACACCCCAAACACTCCCACAGGGTCACTCGTGGGCACAGCGCACAGACACACAGGTTCCGACCCGGTTCCCACGACTGCACACGCACAAACACCACACACACGTTCCCGGGCCCATACTCGGGCAGGATCCCAGAGACCTCGCAGCACACGCATAAACAAACACGCGGGTTTTCAAACGCACCAGCAACAGCACTCGCGCCTGGGGAATACAAAAAAGCCAACAAATGCAACATAGGCTCAGACGCAACTCTGGCCAAGCCACCAAAACTCAGATACACAGCCCACTTGGCAGCGTGGACAAACATGAGCCAGCGCACACCCGGTGCCCCACGCAGGCGACACTCACACCAGCACACTCGCATCCCCGGTACACACTCAACCTCAGCTTGCACAAAAACTACAGACACAGCAGCCACAGACACTCGGAGCACGCGACCGAGCGTCCCACACTCCGACATCGGAGACAAGCCGGGGGCACTCGCGGGATAAGCTTGGAGGGACCGCGCGCGCTTACCTGCGGGAGTCTCGGTCTCCGGCGCGCAGAACTGGAAGGTGAGCGCCAGGACCAGAGCCTGAGCTCGGGCCATGGCTGGGGCACAGCCGCCTGGGTCCTGGAGACCCGCAGCTCGGGAGGCGACGCCTCCAGAGCCCGAGCCGGAGCCCAAGGCGAGCGGGAGCCGTAGCGGAGCAGCGCCGCGCGGAGCGGGACTGGCGCCGAGTCCAGAGCGGGAGCCCGAACGAGCGGGGCGCTGACGTCAGGGCCCCGGCGCGAGTTCCGCGGTCTCGAGGCGTCCCCTGCTGGCGGTGTCGCGCGCTGCGGCCCGGGTCCCTGGGCCCGCAGGCCCTGGCGTGCCCATCCCCCACTCTCGCACCGGGTCGACAAGACCCATCGGCCGGTGCTGGTATTCAGGTCGACGTTCTCAACGCATTCGTTGTCCACGGCGGAGACTGTAACCCAGGGACACTTGGCTCCTCTGTTCCGTCGGTTGCTTAAGTTCTTCCTACCTTGACTGCTCTGAATATTCATTCAGCTCCCTCCAATGACAGAGCTCTCTTTATCTACCAGAAAGGTTGTTGGGCCTTTGGGATGTTGTCTTTCACTTTCAGTAATATGAAATTCATCTCTCTCCCTGACGCTCGTGCCTCGTACAGTAGCCTCCGGCTACTCAGAGTAAGTAAATTTGGAACTCTGCCCAGTTCAATTTTTTTGTACAACCACCAGCAGTAGTAGTCAGTGACGACAGAAGAAGTAGCTACTACAGAAGAAGTAGCGACGACGTAAGACCAGGTGCCATATGTGCCTCTCTCTGGGACTCTGTTCATCTTCACTATTGCCTGCCCTAGGAGCGCACACACACCACTCCAATCCCATTACATAGTTGAGAAAGTTGAAATCGTAGAACGTGGCTTTTTCAAGATCATGCATCAGTGTGAGGCGACACCAAGAAATGAATCAAGGTTGTCTGGCTTGAACTGTGTTTAAAAAAAAAAAAAAAGACTCACATCTAGAAAGCCATGTGCTTCTCAAATACTGACTAGATCCAGGCTCGTTAGTTCAATGATGACTGTAGGCCACAGAGGAGATTTAAAAAAACGAGGACCTAATCTCCGGGAGCTGGAGACGACTTAGTGGTTAGGCACACAAACTGCTCTTGCAGAGGTCTCAGGATGGATTCCCAGCACCCTTGTCCAGTGGCTCAGCCACCTGTAACTACAGCTACAGGGCATCGGACCAGCACTTCTGGCCGTGTAGAGCACTGCGCTTGCACGCACATAGACACAAATATAATTTTAAATAAAAACAAAAACCTCCACCCTCATGAAGTTTACATTCGGGAAGAAGATGGGGTGGGGGGAGTGGAACTTACCACCGTAGGGGAAATGGATTGCTGCACTTCTGAACAGACCGCCTGCTGTGTGATAGACTTGGTATTCATGCCCACATTTAGAATGTGAGCCCCCCTAGGGAAGCTTTGTCCCCCAGGGCTTGCTATCCCGCATACTCAATAAGTAATGAATGAGTGGGTAACTGATAAATGGGTACTTAGAGAGACGGTCCTTGCTTTCATGACGACTTCAGGCAGCAAATATAAATAGATACATATGTAACTCCAGTCTGAGACACCCGTGGGCCCTCAAGGGAGTGAACAAGGAACACTAAGGGACGGGGGCCATGCTTTAAATAAGACAGTCCAAGAGCCCTTTGCCAAAGCCATGGCCCTATGCCACGTGATCAGACACCTGAAGTAGGAGGAGTCAGCTTCAAGCAGGCCAATTGGAAGAAACGCTGTAGCCAGAAGAGCTAGCCTGGGCAAAGATAGGCTGATGGGTCTCAGGAGACTATGGAGGCTGGAATGGACCGGTGAAGAAGAATGGCAGGTCCAGCTGGAGAAGTTGCCAGGGCCTGCAGAGCATACAGAAAGCCAAATAAAGAAGATATTTGGGGTTAAGAAACACTAAGAAAATGACAAGCCACTGAAGAGGCTTGAGTTCTGATTTATTATTTTCATTCCCGAACAACTAATGGGCAGAGACATTGGATGAACTTATTTAAGTACAGATCCTGGGGTATGTAAGCCCTCCCTGTTTCCTGCCTCTTCCTCAGTTGGCTCAAACTGAGGCTGGCACACTGAGAAGCTACCCTGAGGCCAGAAAGAGAAGCACTAAGCTTTCCTGGGCTCCTGGGCTCCTCTCTTGTAACTGCTGCTCAGTTCCAGGCTGCAACAGGGAGGGAGCAAAGACAAAGCTCTCGAGGACCTGAGGATTAAACTAAGAGTCGCAGGGAGGCAGAGGTAGAAGAAGGAAAAGTGACAGGCGAGATAGAAAGACATCCTGAAATAGAAAGATCGGGCGACCAGGAGCCGGATGTGTGTCGGGAGGGGGGATGGAAACTGAAATTATTATTATTATATTATCATTATTATTTTATAATCTCAAGTTTTGAGGTCTGGACACTGAGAATCAGAGAGCATAGTATCACACAGTCCATGAAAGTGTCAGGATTTGAACCCAAATCTGATCTATTCCACGTTCGTTTGCTCCTTGGGCAGGGGACAGCCTCAAAGACTGTGGCAAACCGGTGTGCCACTGTCAGCAACAGGTAGACAAAGAGAACATTGTTCCCCTTTACTTTTAAAAAGGGCCACAAACTTCAACAATACTTGCAAGATGAAGAAAAGCCCTGGACTGGAGTGACTGCCCCAAATCTAGGGAGAAGAACAGGGAGTCAGTGCCAGGTCAGGAAGAAATCCAATTACCTGCAACTCATGGAATATTTATTATGCCTATCCTGTGTTAGGCCCCATATTGAGTGCTGGCATCCTGGAGATGAACTAAAGACGGCCCCACTTTTGCCTGGAGGGGGACGTGGACATATAAATAACTATGAGATAGTATCCTATTGGCCATAACATTAGCCCAGAGAAAATACAAAGCATTGGGGTTTACTCAATAAAGCAATATCTGAATCTGGAATTCCCCTGGAAGGTTAGACAGGAAAATTTATTACAGGCAGCAGTAACCTGAATAAAAGCAGAAGACAAGGAAGAGCTGGTGAGAGTGACGTTAGGTGTAGTTGGGTCACTGGCAATGTACAGTGTAAAAGATAAATCCAGAAAGACAGGTCCAGGCATCAAAGTACATATAGTCTTGAATGCAAAGCTAAGACCGTCAGGCTTGAGTCCCTTCACCGGTGGTTCTCAATCTGTGCACCTGCGTGACCTCAGATAGCCTAGACCAAAAGTGAAAGGAGGAAGGCTTGCTGTTGAGTCTCCAGGCTTTCCCCAGTTGGCTGCCAGGGAGGAGGAGGAGCCAATGGGGGACAGGGAGAGATAAAAGGAACATATCAGTGTCACCTAGAGGATCCTACAGCAGAGGGACCTTATGAACTTCCAGGCACAAGTGTGCCTCCCTGTCACTATGAAAATAGGTGTTCACGTGTGTGCGTAAGTACACGTGTAACTGTGAGACCAGACTTTGCCCCTACTGGTAGGCATCAGCTTTCTCTAATAAATGCAGTTATTGAGCACAAACTCGAGCCAAGCCTTAGTGTTTTACACGTACTATCTCTCGTTTCATCTGCACAACATATCCCTGAGATAGTTCTAGAATGTTCCATGTGCCAAGCAGTGTGCCAAGTCCTTCGAGTGGCACTATCTCCCTCCGTCTTCAAGGCAACCTTGGGACTATTAGTCTCTCAATTTGTTATTGCACCCTCTAGTTCAGTCCCCTTCGTTTTAACTGTGAGGGAAACAGAGACACAGAGGAGCCAAGTGACTAACCCAAAATCAAACAGCCAGGAAATGGCAGAACCAAGACTCAAATCTAGGTTTGCGTGAGCCCAGTTCCCATGACTAACCTCCATGCTTTGCCGGGCTCTCCTCCTCAGAGCTTTGGGTCAATCATCTTTGCCTCTCAGAAGCTCTCTGATACTTATTTCCTGGGCTACCACATCACCAGGCCCTGGGGAGTGTCTAAGAATGTATACCTTTGGACTGTGTACCTCTCCATGATTCTAATTCCAAAGACCTCAAATGGAACCACATCTGATTTCCATGCATCCAGTTTTGGAATCGAAGGGCTGAATCCTGCAGCACTTCCTTCACAAGTCTCTGATGGCCTTCATCACAGAGTGCCCCCTTTCTTCAGCCTGCAACAGTGCCCACTCGAATGCACAGGAATACTCCACCGACCCATTATCTATGCATATGCTTCCCTTCCACCAAAACTAAGACCCTGTGTCTTTCCAGGTCTCTACCTTTTACAAACAATTTTCATTTTCCCACCCAATCTCTTTGTATGCTGTGAGCATTTTAAAAGGCGCCTTCTTCCTTGGGATTCCTCTCATATCTGAACAGCTTGATGTTTTTACGATGGATTATCGTGCCCACCTTAACATTCTTCTAACGTTTTATCTACTCCCCACAACCGTCTGAAATGAGGTATATCATTTTCATGGCAGCGGTGAGAAATAGGCTCCGAGTTGCACTCACTTGCCCAAGCTAGGAAAGAGTGGCTAGGATTTGACCCTGGTATTCCTGGTATGTTAGCTCCAGGTAAAGAAGTAACTTTTAAGTCCCCAAGACTTGGTGGTGCATGCCTTTAATCACAGCACTTGGGAGCACAAGCGGATCTATGAATTTGAGGCTAGTCTGGTCTACAGGGTGAGTTCCAGGACAGCCAGGGTCACACAAAGAAACCTGTCTCAAAAAACTGATGATGATGGTGGTGGTGGTCGTGATAGTGATGATGATGATAATGATTTTTAAAAAGTCTCTGTGTGCCGGGCGGTGGTGGCGCACGCCTTTAATCCCAGCACTTGGGAGGCAGAGGCAGGCGGATTTCTGAGTTCGAGGCCAGCCTGGTCTACCGAGTGAGTTCCAGAGCAGCCAGGGCTATACAGAGAAACCCTGTCTCGAAAAAAAAAAAAAAAAAAAAAGTCTCTGTGTTGTTCTGGGGAACTGGAGAAGAGATGATACTTTAAAAAGCCTGGCACAGTAGTATCCCAATAAAGGGTGGAAAATGGGATACTGAGGCCAGAATGTAAATGACTTCCCTGAAACACCACGCGGCAAGCAACAGTCGCAGCTTTAAGCCAGTTCCGAACTCTCTTCGTTGGGTAGGCTACTTTGGCTGGCTCTGCAACTTCTCCAGGTCTCTGAATAACCTACGCCATCCCATCCTCAACCCCCACATCAGGGCCAGACTGCAAGCCGCCTCTTTTAAAGGGAGGGGCGTGGCCACGAGTGGGGCGGGGCGCAGGCTTGCGGTCGCGGACGAATGACGTAGGCCGGAGCGCCGGGTTCTGTCAAGGCTAGAAGCAGCATGATGGTCAGCCGGCGACTGACAGGGGCGCGAGCCCCGGCACCTCTGCTTACGAGTCTTCTAGAGGCTTGGTGCCGCCACGGCCGGACCACCTCCTCCTACTCCGCTTTCTCTGAGCCGTCACGGGTGAGGGCGCTGGTCTATGGCAACCACGGGGATCCAGCCAAGGTCATCCAGTAAGAGTCGGCGCCGACACCGGGGAGGGAACTAGGGGTCCAGGAGGGTTTTAAGGCGGGCGGCGGACTGCGAGGAGAAGATAGGGTCCGAGGAAGCCGACTCTGCTGTTCTACAGATGCCGAAACCCAGGGCGTGCTTGCTAACCTGACACCGGTGCTTTCCGCTGGCGAGGCACAGGGGCAAGCGTGAAGGCCAGAGTTTACTGACCCATGTTGGTTTGAGGATTGTGGCAGTCACTCCTGTGTCTAAATGGATGCTTTCGACTATTGTCACGGCAACATTCTGGGGGTAGTTATTGGATGTTTTACCCCCATTTTGCAGATGAGAAAAACTGAGTCATAAGAAAGTTAAAATTAACATTTGCCCAAAGTCACCCAGCCAGTAAGAATTGGAATTTGAACATCTATATGGTCGGACAGCCTACCTAGATTCTACTCCTGTTTTTAAATAGGTAATAGGTTATTGTTTGCCTTTCACCGAGGTCGAGGGACTTGTCTAAAGTGATACGGCTAATTAGTGTTTGGAATAGATGCTGGCCCTTTCTCATGTCGATTTCCTTCCACCAAGCCATGGATGCATCTTGGCCTAGTTATAAAGAGTTGTTTAAACTCAGCTTGACGACATGTGCCTTTAATCCCAGCACTAGAGAGGCAGAGGCCGGCAGATCTCTGTGAGTTCAAGGCCAGTCTAGTCTACATAGTCAGTTCCAGGAAAGCCAGGGCTATATAGAGAGACCCTGTCTCAAAACAAACAAGCAAAAAGGAGTTGTTTCATAATCCCAGCATGCTGAGGTAAAAGGGTTCTGAATTTGAGACCAATATGGGTTACATAATGAGCCTTTGTCTCAAAATACACACACAGTAAAATGCATAAAAATTTAAAGAAAAAAACCTCAAATACAATTTAACACTCGATAAGGCAGGAAGATTGTGATTGTAAGGCCAGCTTGAACTACATATTGAGACCCTGCCTCAAAAACAAATTTGTCCAAAGAGAGGACAATTTGGGTTTACTGATATGCATCTTTTTCTTTTTCTCTTCCTTCTTAAGGTCTCCCTGTATAGTCCTGGCTAGCCTGGAACTTGTCGAGTAGGCTTGGCTGATCTGGAGTTTGTAGTGATCCTTCTACCACCCACAAACCCTAGCACTAGGACCAAACGTGCCTGCTTCTAATGGGGGGGGGACTCCTTTGGTTGTGTGTTTGTTTGATTGAGACAGGGTCTTACTTTGTAACCCTGGGTAGCCTGCCTCTGCCTCCTAAATGCTAGGACTAAAGGCATGCAACTCCAAACCTACCCACTGTTGGTATCAGGACTGACTCTGAACCTAGTGACATCACATCTAGGGGACCCCCCACATCTGTTGCCAAGGCAACTGCCACACATTCCCAGAATCCACTTGGCTCAATTCCCACCTTTGCCTACAAGAGACTATGTCACTATCCATATAAATAAGCAGAGCCCCCCGACTCATATATTCATTCTCATTCTCTCTCTCTCTCTCTCTCTCTCTCTCTCTCTCTCTCTCTCTCTCTCCTTCCTCTTCTTGCTGTCACCTTTGTCCTTGTCTCCTGAATAAACCTCCCGTGGAACTGTCTGGTCTGGTGTGGTCTGACATGAACTGTGCCCATCGAACAACACTCCCCCATCCCCTTTCTTAACCAGAGGCTGGGCTCTAACGCCCAAGTGCTGGGATTACAAGTGTGTTCCCGCTCCCCTTCCTTTCTCTCACTTCAGACAAGGTGTCCCTGTGTTGCCCAGGTAGGCCGGGAACTTGTGGCCCTTCTTGCCTCAGCTTAAGGAATTTGAATTACTGGTTGATATTCTTTTAAATTGCTCTAGAGGTGGGTGTGGCCAAATGGTCCATGTTCACACCTCTCTGCCTGTCAAAGCACCTAGCCAGTATATAAACCACTACAATAATTCTGTTTGCTGTGAATCAAGGAGTTATAAAGGCACCACAACGGAAGCTGTGGGGGATTTTGGTGGAGTGACATTAGCTCATTTTTAGCCCTGTATGCTGTGTTTATGAGGTGGCCCAGAGAACAAAGTGATCTTGTCAGAACCTCAGCTAACCCAAGTTAGGGCAAAGAGCTGACTTCAAGTTCCCTGATTCCCAGATTGGTGCTTTCGCCTTAGCCCTATTCCAGGCAACCTTAACAGCCCTTTGACTGGTAAGGTATATGTAGATTAATTAGTTGGTCGTTCACATGCAGAAATTGTGAATTAAGATCCAACAGAATTTTAGAAGAGGATATTATAGACATAGAGGCTCAGAGGTTGACTAACTTGTCTAAGATCAAACATATTTGATTCTCTCCTGCCATTTAGGGAACAGGTGCTAGCTCAGGCTCTCGGGTCTGTGCATCAGTACCTCTGCTGAACTGACCCACTAGCCCTAAGTTGTATTTTGCTCATAGGCAATCAATCATGTCAGGATAGACACTTCCCTGAAGATTTTGCTGCAGTGAACTGATAAGTCCTTATAAGCAAGCTTCCACTTTCAGAAATGGACTCGAAGTGAGAGCAGCGTGGTGGTGCTCCCAAAGGCTCGTCATTTGTGTCTCTCATCAGCCTGCTACAAAACACCTGCTCCTGTCAAGTTAGCTGAACCCAAAGCTCATGAAGAAGTGCACCTTTTACTGAGTTCTCCCAAGGTGATGAGGAAGGCCTGGGTGGTGAAACAGCTGTGTGCAATGGCCTCCAGATTGTTTTCCTGTTGGAGAGCCAGGGAAGCTGGAACAGGCCAGTCTGTCTGCAGATGCCCCCAGGAAAAAGACAGCAGCTTTGTCTTCTGTGTAGACCCTTAGTCCTTTCCCCAAGTTCAGAGCATTCTTTTCAGCCTCAATTCACAGTGCAATCTGTTACCTTTGCTACATTTGGAAACTATTTCTGGCCTCCACCTCTGACGTGCTCAGTAGGTCTGGGTTGGCCTAGAGTGGCCATTTATTTAAGCTTTTCAGGCCTCCAGGTGACTGATGCCTAGCCATTGTTGAAAAGCAATGCCTGCAGATAGATGGCCAGGAAGTAGGGATTGTCCCTGGTCTGGCCTGACCTTCCCTTCTGACTCAGATTCAGACAACTTTGTATTTGAGCTGAGGCCAGTGACCGAGATTCCCTTTGTAGTCCTGTGAGAGATTTACAGTACCCACCACCACCAAAGAATCAAATTTTTTTTTCCCATCCTAATGACTGGGCATCTCTGGGTAAGGTCATGAAATTATCTGAAATCCAAACAATAGTTCCCAGACAGGTATGTTTTGTACTGTGGACCAGTGCTCTGGGAGGTGGGGGGGAGAGAATAGAGGAAAGTTTGAAATCAGGCTGCAGAATCTTACAGTATTCTGGAAATTCCAGAGGTGGCCATAGCTATTGTTCTCTGTGTAGACTTCTAGATTCTGTACCACAGAGGTCTGGAAACCCAGATGTCCTTTTCTTTTCTCCTCCCTACATCCTCCTGCCCCTCCCATCCTACAGTGCTGCTCTCTTTAGTGCTAGTATGGAAATAACTCTTGTTTGTTGTGTACCCAAGTTCTCTACATAGGCTATGTGATTCAGATGGAGCTGTGGTTGGAGCTCGGGAGTGTCCTTGCCTAGTGTGCACAGGGCCCTGAGTTCAGTCTTAGGCATCACAAGTCAACATCATCCAGTTTGGTTCACTCTTGAGTTTAACTCAGAAAGGAAACTGAGCCTCGGGAGATTGAAAGACCCTTGCCCAAAGGACAGCTAGAATGCTCCTTCTTAAAGTACTTCATGAGTGTTGGAGGAGTCCCTAGTACAGAAAAAAGGCTGGAAGAAGCAGTTACAGTCATCTTAAAGGGGAGAGATGGAGTTTAAAATTAGGATTGTGATAGAAGAGAAAGTAAAACTACAGGTCATTCAGTGGCCCTGAGTTTTCTGTCCTGCCCTGGGACAAGGGAGATACCAGCCTCTGCCTTCTTCCTGGTTCCTGCATCCAGCTGGTGTGGTTGTTCATTCTGTAATGTGAGCACTTGACATGGATGCAGCATCAAGAGTCTGAAGCTTGTCTTCACTGCATAATGAGTTTGAAGCTAGCCTGGGCAGTCTCAAAACACCAAAACAACCCTGCTCCCTCACCCTGACTTCTTACCTGCCATCTGCAAGATGAACCCACAGTGGGAAACCTTTGGGTACAATACAACACATGCATGAGACAGCTTAGGTAATGGTTAGCCTCCATTTTGGAGGTGGTAGTCAATGAGTAGTGCCATTGCTTCCAGGTAGGGACATGCACCAAAACTGTGCATCCTAGCATGAATCACAGAGGAAGCAACTAGGTACCTCAGTGACCTGAAGACCTACCTCTGGACTCCACCTCTTACCCACAGTGCCCTGGCCACAAACCTCTAACACAGGGACATTTATGGTCTGTATTATAATGGACTGCTCTCAGCATAGCACTGCACATGTGGAAACAGAGAAACAACTCTTCATTTTTCAAGCCATCCTTTGACAGTTCTATGAAAGTCAAGCACCACTGGACTACCTGCTCCAATTTCTTGGGATGCTGAAGCAGGAGACTTGCTTGAGACCAGGAATTAAAGGTTAGGCTGGGCAACATACTGAGATCCTCAAAAAAGGGGGGCTAAGGGGCAGAAGAAATTGTGTTTGATGGACTACAAGATGAGTCCCAAGTAGAAGGTGGGCAGATCACCTTGAGGCAGGAAAGCCAGAAGAGGCCCAGCAAGCCTGGTGAGTGAAAAGAGCTCTGGTCCCTAAGAGTCCAGGACTCCTTTATCTCTCCACCAGCTAAGGCCACTCATAATCCCTGCTATGGGTCACAAGTTAGGAGCTGAGGAACCATCTTCCTCCCATTTTCGACTTGTGTTCTACTTGTTAATTAGTAAAGTCTCAGCATCCTAAGCATGTCACTGAATCACAGAAAGTAGCCTGCTAATCATGAGGACTACATACAGACTTGAGGAAAGCCTCAGGAGGTGTCAGTCACCTTTGCCCAGTGCTGTACGAGGGCACACATT